GTAGATGATTCGTTTTCATGCACCTGATTGGTTTTAACTACCTGGATTACATGGACCAGACGGCGAGTTGTCTCTAATATTAGAAGGATTTAGAAAGATTAGAAGGCAATTTTATAGGAGGTAGTGTTTGAGTAGCCAATTGCTGACCGCAATGTGAAATGGTAGGTAAAGATAGTCTTATAGGGTTTGTTAAGTTGAGACCGTAGGTACAATGGGTTGTTACTTCATAATAACAGTTATAACAGTTTATTTATAAAAACCATCCTCGCAGCCTGTACAAAAACTTGCTAAATAACACTGATTTTTTACAGTTACTTATGTCTGGCAAATTCAAATTAACATTGCAATACGTATACAAACACATGAACAAAAAACGTTACAAAAAGCCTCACATGGGCACTAAAGTAAAGACAAGAGAGTCCTAAGAGTCTTACTGCGAAGACTCGTTGTACAGGCACATTGCCTTGTGTAAGAAAGAGTTTTTTTTCAGTCTTGTCGTACGGTATCTAGTATCTAAGGCACGGTGTTGGAAGACAGGGCCCATCCCTCTTCTTCCAGCCCCCTAAACGAAGTCAGGTAGCCCTTTTTGCACCTGGGTGGAGTAAGGTTTTTTTTTTTATTTTCCCTCGGACACCACGTCTGGCCAGGAATCGAACCCGGGACCGCGTGTGCGCTCACCTGGCCACTCAGCAATTCACAACGCCACAAACATAATGTACCTTTGTACTATAGACTGCGGCCTGATTGATGAGGCTAAACCCTTGAGGTATATTCCTGTAAGAAAATTATGTAGACATGGCTACAAACTGTACATATGGACGTGCCCAGTCGGAATTATCGAAGGTACATGAAGAATGCATCCAACTTCGGTTGGGGAAAGCCGTATTGAGGTCACCTTGTGGCGCCGAATGGCAGCCGCACAGACCCTTGCGGCAGTTCCACAAAAATGTGGAACAAATATGTATCATGTATCATTATGTTTATTATTATGTGTATTATTACCATTTGTATCATCTGATTGTAAACCCTGCATCAATTCAGCACTATAAGGCTGCGACTGCACGGGTGATGTTTGGCCAATAAACCATTTTAAAAAATGCATACAATCTAAAAAAACTCACTGGCATCAATGCTAAAGCAAAAAGGTCGTTTATGTAAAATTCATAATTAAAAAAAATAGTAAAATGTTGGGCTATAGAGTATGCAACGTGAGCAAAGCACAAACAAACTGTTTATAAAATCACGATGCACCAATGTCTGAAACATTGCCTATTTATAATACAGTAACCATGATTTTGATTGATTAACTTCAAGAAAAGCAGGTACCAGCTTGTCAGCGTCATAGACAAGTTTGAAAACTGCTCGCAGTTCGCGTGTTCTGTTGATATCCACCACATCAAAACTCCGCGTCCTGTCCTGTGACAGATTCTAATCTATTGCGCGTGCACGTGTGTGTGGTACCGATAAAGGCTGGAGACGGATAGGTTGTTCAGGGAAGGGTTAAAATGTCATGTGAGAAACATTCATCATTTATACCCACTACCTTAGAATTAATAGAAAACCCGAATCTGGGCAAGCCTGGCTTCCAGTGATATTAATCTCTTCTCGTGCCTGGAAGTGATAAAGATCATTCTTTTATGCACGCTTGCCCCGAGTGAAGTTTTTTACATTCAATCTTAGACTGTAAACTGTATCATAAGCAAGCTCCCTCTTTATATGTACCCAATAAATCGGGCTAACATAAACTACCAGACATCATGCTACCTCTGATGACCAGGTTGGTTACATGGCTAAAGGCCTGGTCACAACCCGCCGTACGTGCGTCTGTGTGCTGTCTACGTGCAAAAACGTGGGCAAACGTAGGGCATCCGTGCGTGGTGAGTACCGCCTCCGTACGGAATCCTACGGATTTGGGAGCACGCAGACAAGCCGTAGAACTTTAAGTGCATGTAAAAAATTTTCTGCGTGCGGTCTGCGGATTCACCACCCGTGCGTGCGAGTACGAGCGACGTGCGTGCCCCGTACGTGCCGCGTACGGAAGAAGCACGTGTGAGTACGGCCTCCTTATGGTAAAGTTGCAATCGCACAGAGCTCGTACGTTGCAAGCACTTACCACTTGCGCAACGAACGATGCACGCAACCGCTCACGGCCAGACGTGGCGATCAGACCACACTCTTACACCTTGCGAAACCGTGCGAGTGACGTGCGTAGACGCCACTCCTTCCCCACGTTTTCAGAAAGAACGTAGCAGACGTAGCCTCCCAAAAAACGTACGGACAAAAAGCACGCACGGCGGGTCGTGACCGAGGCTTTAACAGTTTTCACGTACAGTACTCAGGCGTAATGTTTGTCCTTCAGTAGCGCAAGGAATCCTCTATTCTCCTCATTGTGTCCTCTGTCACTCTTCATGTATCATTGTGTAAGAGTGAGTCTGATGCATATCCACCCATTTTGCATCATGACAAATTTAATCACTACATAATAACTGCTGGCAGAGAGGATTTTTGCAAGAAGTAATGAACTAGGTAAACGCATTGTTGCAATTTAAATAAATAAAAATCAAATCAAATCAAACGCTTGACTGTGTATATTTCCAAAGCAGCCAATGTGGCGTGTAAGATTGATTTTCAATGGCCAACCCTTTTTGATATGTTACAACGGTGCTCATTTTAATGTAATATTAACCTGGAAAGGACGACCTATTTTCCTGAAAGCCATCTATAAATTGGAGACTCACTGTAAATTGTTGCAGACAATTCCAACTCATTCCAAGCTGAAATGACGACTGTATCTGATCCATTTTTAATATCATGAAAATAGCGTCAATATCTCAGTGGTGCACCTCTAAAATATAGAACCATTGCCAAATACAAAACCGTGCCTAGCGGATCGACATTGTCAGGTCACGAGAACAATCCGTAAATTCTCATCATTGATTTCCGTGCTTTAGACATGGCGCGTTGGCATTAAGTGAAATAGAAAACGCAGGAACTTAATTTCCCACAATATGTTATTGTCCCATGGCAGTCCTACGGTGGAATTTTTGTTTCAATATTTACTAAGCTTGATATAGTGAATGGATGCATATGTATGGCCAAGAAATTTTAATCACATCAAGGTATCAAATTGCAAAATATATCAAGGTATCAAAATGCGACGTAACTACACTAGATTCTGTATCTGTATCGGTATAGCCGGCATAACCGCCCTTCGGCGTAACACACCAGCTTCACAGGCACGCGGAGCGGTGGCAGCTAGCTATATCACACAGAACGGCTTGTTACACTCAATCTTTGCACATTTGATGATTGCAGGAGGTGTTTAAAGCTTTCTAGTGAGGATGCCCCAAATGTCCTTGGTGGAAACGAGTTCCAGTCTACGATAGTTCTGAGGAAATACGACTTTTTGAATACCTCAATTCTTGGTTGATAATTCTGATCTTTGAAAGCATGACTGTTTCTTATTCTTTTCTCTAACCTGTCTGTTCTTCCCTTTTCTTCCGTTTTTTCTTTCAGGACCAGGGGACCAGTGTTCACCACACACCTGCACAAGGATACGTCCTGCGCCGTGTAACGTCCTGCTAACGTCCTGGTGTGACCTTGCCGATACCGAGTATAGATCCGTTCCCGCAGTGAGAAATCAGCCGTGAATAATAAACCGCAGCTGTACCAGCAGTAAAGAACCGTGTAACATTAATCACAACCAAAACCTCCAGAAGATTCTAAAAAAAATGAACGGCACAAACAACACCAAAACGAATGAAACTGAAAAGTGGAACACATTCATTTATGATGATTCAATCACGGCTCTCCTCATCCTGGCGTACGGTCTGGTGTTTCTGCTGTGTATCATCGGCAACAGTGTGGTCTGCGCTGTGGTCATCAGGACGCCCAGACTCAGGTAAGGCCACACCAAGTAATTTTTATGGATGACATCAGCGCGCATTAATTTTCGCCTGATTTTGAGAAAAAAAATTGTTACCCTCTGACAGTGGTCAATTGCAACATGCCGAAAATGGACAAAGATGTCAGTTGTCATGCCGGAACGTGCATGGCAGATAACTATAAAGAGAGAAGACACGAAAAGGCTCTGATTAAATATTAATTTTTTTTTTACTTTGATGCAGTGATATGTGATGGTGGTTGTGTATATGTGATGTCCCCACTGAATCAAAACCATTTGTACAATGATTGAGTCAAAATTTGAAAATGTAGGAACCTTGTTTTTTCGGCCCGAATTTTTTTTTCGCCCGCGCGCATTAGATTTGGAGTCTGCAGAGAATGTCATCCATAAAATTTACTTGCTGAGGCCTAATCAGTAAACAGCCTCCCTTTTCCTTCTCAGCCTTCTGTATGTGGCAGTGTGGTAGTGACTGTCTAAAACATGCTAAAACTAATTATCATCAGTATCTTATTATTCCGTTAATAATTTTATCAGGTTGGTAAACGACTGAATAGCAAAGTTCTTTTTATCACAACCATTTATTTTGTCAAGCCGACGTTTCGATGACCGTCTGTCATCTTCATCAGGGCAATTCTGACTGGTTTACTGTGCACTGACACTAAATGTTACTAGGTGCACAATGCCTAGTATGTATGTCACAATTACACCACGTTCCGGAATGTATTGTAAACAGAAAAAAAACTAGCTTAAGTGCACTATGAACTATGTCACACCTTTAGTGCACAATGCACCAAGTAACATCTAGTGTCAGTGCACAGTAAACCAGTCAGAATTGCCCTGATGAAGATGACAGAAGGTCATCGAAACGTCGGCTTGAAAAATAAATGGTTGTGATAGAAAGAACTTTGCTATTCGTCTTATTGTTGTTTATCACTTTTAACATTCTCAAGACAATGTACTTTGTCATTGTTGAAGATCTCCCCCTACTATTATCTTGTAGTGCAGGATAGCTTAAATATTTTGTATATTGTATTCTCTCAATCTTATCTGTGATTTGAATTAACAGTGAATTTACCTTTTAACAAAATTTAGGACAGTGACCAACTATTTCATATTGAACCTGGCCGTCAGTGACTTGCTTGTCGGCATCTTCTGCCTTCCCTTCACGCTGATATTTCACATCTTAAACGGTAAGTAAGACTTAAGATAGCTGGTGCCTGGTGTCACTCTCGCGAGATCACGTTGTGAAGTGATTGGTCATTAATTATCCTGATGAAAGCGACATTGGTCGCTGAAAATTTGATCTCTCTGTAAACTGTGTGTTGGAATAAAGTTCAACTTTTTACTACGGTTACTACCAACACAGATGAACTTTCATGATAATAATCTTTTGTTTTCGGTCTTGCACAGAATACCAGTTTAACGACGCCATGTGCAAGTTGACTCCGTTTGTCCAGGGTGTCTCCGTGGCTGCCTCAGTCTTCACCTTCCTCATGATTGCATTTGACAGGTGAAAGAGTACTTTTCCTATCCTACCAGTTTGTAAGTTTTGGTTGGAGTACCTAGCTAGTTTGCAATTTACTTGCATATGCAATGCCTCTTCATATATTTTATATGATCACAATAACATACTTATTATGCATCGTAACCTTATTGTATTATTAGTTGATTGTTCTGATTTGTATTGATTATTATGTGATACCCTGCCTCAATTCAGCCGTATAAAGGCTGCGACTGCACGGGTACTGTTTGGACAATAAAAACCATTCAAAAGAAAATATGTGTTGCAATCCGTCCGTTTCCCTTCTCTGTAGGTACAAGGCGATCGTGTTTCCCACAGAACCCCGGATGACGCTGAAGGCCATGCGGAAAACCCTGGTGGGCGTGTGGCTTTGCGCTGTGGCGATAAGCATCCCGCAGATCGTTGTCTTTAACATGAGACAACATAAAATCACAGGATACGAGCCGCTGAATGTCTGCTTCGAGCAGTGGCCAGACGCCGTGTACGGACAGACGTATACGATCATGCTGCTTACTGTAGTGTATATCGTACCCTTACTTTCTGTCCTGTATCTATACGGTAGAATCTTCCATCAGATGATGTTGAAGCCAGGTCCAACGGCAAGGGGAAACCTTGCAGCTAGCAAAAACAAATGTACAGGGGCTGTCTCAAAGAAACGTGTCCGCGTCATCAAGATGTTGATAACAGTAGTTGTGATGTTTGCTGTCTCGTGGTTACCATTATACACTGTGTGGATGCTGCTGGATTTCGGTAACTTATCTGAAGAGAACAATAATTACATTCATGCCAACGTTTTCCCATTTGTACACTGGTTAGCACTGTCCAATAGCTGTGTAAATCCGATAGTTTACGGATTGTTTAATACGAATATTCGCAAGAATATTCGCTCAGCACTTTCTCTGAAAGACAGTAAAGATAATTCAAATAAGGCTTCTGGTGTGAGGATAGCCACATTGTCGCCAGAGGAAGGTAAGGCTAGCAGATCTACAACACCGACCACGCGGACCCGGCAAACTGCCCTGTTAGAGGAGACAAGACTGTAAAGGTAGAATTAAACCTTCTGTTACAGATTTATGTAACAAGCTTTTGTATCAAAATCCATATTTGACTCCTATGGATTCTGCTTTTTGCACATAGTCACTAATTCTCGTCATTAGGCCACAGCAAGTAATGTTTATGGATGACATCAGCGCGTGCATTAATTTTGAAAAAAAATTGTTGCCTTCTGACAGTGGTCAACATGTCGAAAATGGGCAAAGATGTCTGCTGCCATACCGGAAGGCTGATAACTATGAAGAGAGGAGATAAAAAAGGACTCTGATTCAATGTTTTGTTTCTTACTTTGATGCAGTGATATGTGATGCTGTCTGTGTATATGTGATGTTCCCACTTAATCAAAACCATTCGTACCATGATTGAGTCAAAATTTTAAAATGTACGTAAGAACCTTGTTTTATTTCGGCCCGCCTTGTTGTTTTTTCGCCCGCTCGCATTAGATTTGGAGTCTGCGAGGATGTCATCCATAAAATTTACTTGTTGTGGCCTTAATGTCATTCATTTACAAGTTGGGAAACCTGTGAATTTTAACAATTTCACTTCTTTAATGGTAATAGGTTGTTTCATAAAAGGTGTCATGTGTTGCGCATCTATTGCCTTCACAATGACTTATACGTGTTTAGAATAATCTCCAAGCAGATCTATAGGGTGACTGCTGAGACAGTATCAAACTGGACAGACAGTAGTTATTTGTCAGACAGTTATCATTTGCCACCGGTACCTCGAGCTGGTGTAAAAATACGATACTAGTGCATAAAAAGGATCCAGATAAAAGCGACTGAAACACGCCAAAAAAAGCTGAAGCCCAAACATCTGCTTGGACAGAGCGTATAGACTTGTACTTTGTAAGTTATTAACTATGATTAGTCCACCTTGCGTTTTCGGGTGAAACTGCAGCTTCCTACTGTACTAGTGCTAGTTGCCACGCATTTAGCAGGAATTTTCCACGAGTGCAGTGTACATATCATTAACTGGTGCATGTATATATTTCTGTATATCTTTTTGATGAAAGTAGTGGAAACTATGAAAATAGTAAACAACATATATATGTAATGAAAAAAGTCTAACGTAGAAAAGTCAGAGGGACATTGTACACATTGCTGTTTATGCATGGTGTGTTTGATTCTACATTTATATTAGCTTGTTAGTTATTACACTAATTATAACACATGATAGCGCACGAGACCTGGCCTCTGCCTTCTTCCTTATGGTTGACCTTTTATGTCTCAATAATTAGTGCATGCTATATCTTTCTTCTATGTTGTAACCGGTGCAATAGCTCGTAACCGATGCAACAGCTCATTGGTAGAGTGCTAGCTTTGTAACCGGGAGGTCGTGAGTTCAAACCCCGTCCGGGTCATACCAAAGACTTGAAAAATGGTACACACTTCTTTTTCTGCTTAGCACTCAGCACATATGAGAAAGAGTGTGGGAAGGTCAAACACACAGCACTACCAGCGGACCAGCCCCCTGCTGTAGTTGCATTGCACAATTGTGTGTCGCCCAAGGGCTACGAAATGGGGATGGGCACCACCCTACACTCGGGCAAGAGCACGGGAGACCTTCTTCTTCTTATGTTGGATAGCCGGGGTAATGGCACTAATGTGCACAATACACATTTTATATCTAGTAGTAGTAGTTGCACACAAAAGACTGCTGAAATCCCTACATATAAATGCAAGTGAGGAATCCTTTATACGGTACGTATTGCCGACATCTCAAAGAACTTCAAGTCTTTTAGGCCACAGCAAGTAATTTTTATGGATGACATCCACGCGCGCATTAATTTTCGAAAAAAAACAACAACAAATTTTGTTGCCTTCTGACAGTGGTCAACATGCCGAAAATAGGCAAAGATGTCTGTTGCCATGCCGGAAGGTGGATGGCAGATGACTATAAAGAGAGGAGACAAGAAAAGGCTCTGATTTAATGCTTTGTTTCTTACTTTGATGCAGTGATATGTGATGCTGTCTGTGTATATGTGATGCTCCCAATGAATCAAAACCATTTGTACAATGATTAAGTCAAAATTTTAAGATGTAGAAACCTTGTTTTTTTCGGCCCGCCTTGTTTTTGTCGACGTCGCTCGCTAACATTAGATTTGGAGTCTGTGGAGGATGTCATCCATAAAATTTACTTGCTGTGGCTATCTTACCTCAACCTACATTTGATCATTTGTCAACATTTATGCCTGAATAGGCACATTTATAGCTGAAACGAAGTGACAAGAGTCTTCGCACGGTTAGGCCATGTTGATTTGAATATATGGATCACATCCTCCGGGAACCCCTAAACTGATGCGCGCGTGCGAATAAAAGAAAGTTTTGCAAAAAAAATGTTCTTTTCATTATGAAATCTACGTGGTCATCAAGGTTGAGCAAATGGCACAGAATATGGTTTGGCGAATAATCTAGTCTTCAAGTTCATTTCTTTACAATTTCGCCTTTTTTCGTTTGATTGTGTCATTCTACGACATTGGTATAGTTTTTATTAATTTTTTTTTGTAACTTATGGTATATTTTTGCTCATTTTGCAACTGTTTTGTACGATTTACAGTATGGTTGAAAACTTTTTTTTTTGGTAACGGTCCG